AAAACTAAAGCACCATTTACTGACTGGATTATAGAAAAAAAAGACTTAGTGTAGTTAGATGCTAAATATTTAAAAAGTTTTTTTTTGCACTTAAATATGAAGACTATATGCTTGTGTCTACCTACAAAATTGAAAAAGAAATTTGGGATAAACTTTATATCACGTATGAAAGGACTAACAAAGTGAAACATTCTAGATTAAAGATTTTTCTACATGATTATGAATTGTTTCATATGAAGCCAAATGAATCAATCACATACTTATATACACATTTCACATAAATAGTCACTTTATTGCATGATTTAGGTAAGTAACTAATGAATTATGAGAGAGTAAATAAAATTCTTCATTGTTTACCTACTTCTTATGATGCAGAGATAATTTCTATAATATATTCAAAAGACTTAAATGCTTATTCTATTGACAATCTTCTTGGATCACTAATTGCTTATGATCAAAGATTGATTCAAAGATAGATTGATATAGTTGAGAAGCGAAAGGAGAAGAAGTTAACTATGAAAGTGGATGACTTGAAGAGTGATCAATCTCAGCTTGAGGATGAAGATGACATTGCCTTGATGACAAGGTAATTTAGGAGTTTTTTAAAATGGAAGCAAAGGAAATGTTAGTAGTGTAATAAAGGTAAGTTTTTCAAAAATGTTAAGCCATATAATGATGTAATTTGCGATGAATGTAAGCCAACATATAATGAAGAGATTGAAGAGAGCAATTTGGGCAGACTAAGCTTCAGATTCTTTAAAAAATAGAAGTAGAGGAGGAAGTCACCAACCTATGTTTGATGGATGACAAGCTTGATCAGTTAGATCAAGAAGAGGTATGTGACTAAACCTATGAAGAGTTATTTGATTTTTCTAAGAAAATTCATACAGCCTATAGAAAACTCAAAAAGATGCATGCTAGGTTAAACATAGAATTTCTAGAATTACAAAAATATCATGAAATTCTTAGGAAAGATCACACACTGAATGATATCAATCATATGAAACTATTGGATGAGTTTGATGATTTGAAAAAATAACATGAACTATTAAAATTATCCCACACTGAACATAAAAATTATTTTAAAATATTTATGGATGAATCTAATAGTAGAGAGCATTATTTCAAAGTTGATAATGCTGTTTTAGAAAGTACTAATTTTTTTTTAAAGATGAATTGAAAGCACTTGAGGAAAATAGGATTCCACCCACACCTGAATAATTTTTTAATCTTGATAAGAAGCCAAACATTTTAAAACATAAGAAAAGATAGTTTTACTCACGTAGATTGATAAATCCATTTTTTCGAGTCAAATATTTTTCTTGTGGAATGATTAGCCATATATCTCACACTTGCACTATTCATAATAAATCATATCAAAAGTGAAGATCAAAGATGCATAAAATAAAGCATATCAAATATGTATCTAGATTAATTTTGCTAGAGGAGAACCAAAAATTATTTTGGTTCCTAAGATTAATGCTTATTATTTTACATAAATGCTCTCATACAAGACCTCGTGAGAGCATTAAAACATGGATAGTACATGTTTGAAGCATATGACTAGAGAAACTAAATAATTTAGATTGATGGAAGCCATTATCATTAGAAGCTAGAAATGGAGGCTAGATTATACTAGGAGACAATACCACTAAAAAAGTGGTAGGCACATATATGATTAGAAATTTGAACAATAATTTCATTGAGAATGTTTTATTGGTAGAAGGCTTAAAACATAATCTATTGAGTATTAGTCAGCTATGTGATAAGGGTTATAATGTAAAATATTTTCACACTAGATGCATAATAAGCTAAAATGAAATTAATTTACTATGTAGAATTAGGGTAAATAATGCGTATATGCTTAATTTGAAATGTATTAAATCTCCTAATGCTTTTTATCTCAAAACAATTTTTGATACATCATGGTTATGTCATAAGATATTTTATCATGCTAGCATGAAAAATCTTAGAAAAGTTACCCAAAAGAACTGGCTAGAGGAATACCCAAAGTAGACTTTACTAAGGATCACCTATGTGATGCATGTCAATTAGGAAAATAGGTGAAGTCCTTATTTCACTCCATTAAGGATCTTAGAACTAGAAAACCATTAGAAATCATTCAATGGAACTTTTTGGATTGGTTAGCACTATAAGTCTAGGAGGTAAAGTGTTTGGATTTGTGATAGTTGAAGATTTTTAAAGATTCTCTTGGGTTAAATTTTTATTTCATAAGAGTGAATCATTTGAAGAATTTAGAAAATTTTTAACTTGGATTCAGAGGAAATTAAGGTGAGAGATTTTATCAATTCAAAGTGAACATTGAGGAGAATTTAAAAATGAGAAATTTGAAGATTTTTGTAAAAAGAAAGGAGTTGATTAAAATTTTTTAGCTACGAGGACCCCTCAGTAGAATGGGGTAGTAGAAAGAAAGAACAAAACATTAATTGAAGCAACTAAAGCCATATTATTTGAATACTCACTACCAAAATACTTTTGAGCTGAAGTGGTTAGTATAACTTGCTATGTTCTAAATAGGGTGAACATTAGATCAAAATTGAATAAAATACTTTATGGACTTCTTAAGGGGATAATAACAAATTTGTCACATTTGCATGTTTTGGAGATAAGGTGTTCATTCATAATAATGAGAAAACTCCTTTAAAAAAATTTGATCTAAAATCGGATGAAGGAATTTTTCGTGGAGACTCCAGTGTTGGAAAATATTATAGTGTTTTTAACAAGAGGACTTTGGTAGTTGAGGAGACCACACATGTTGTATTTGATGAATATGACATTTTGAAAGAGCTAAGGTTAGAAGAGGAACATATTAAAAATAACTCTCAAGGAATTAAAAAGATAAATTTGGAAGAGAATGTTGGATTAGAAACCCTTTTCCTAGAGAATGAAAATTTTCAAAGAATCACCCTAAGGAATTGACTTTAGGTGAACCTAGTGAGAGTTTTAGGACTAGGCATGGAGTTAGCAAAGAGGTGAACCATTATGTTTTTATATTGATGATTGAGCCCTCTAATATAAATCAAGTACTTTTGGATGAATTTTGGATTTTGGCCATGCAAGAAGAGTTGAATCAATTTATAAGAAATGACATTTGGGAATTAACTAAAAGGCCTATGAATCTAAGTATTGTTGGAACTAAGTGAGTGTTCAACAATAAAATGAATGATTCAGAAGTTGTGATTAAAAATAAAGAAAGAATGGTGGCTAATGGGTATAATCAAATAGAAGGGATTTATTTTGAAGAGACTTTTGCCCCTATAGCCAAACTTGAAGTAATTATGGTTTTGTTAGTCTTTGCCTATTTTAAAAGTTTTAAATTATATCAAATAGACGTTAAAATCATCTTTTTGAATGGGGGTGATAAAAGAGGATATTTATTTTGAGCAACCTCCAAGTTTTAAAAATTCTAAATTTCATAATCATGTGTTTAAATAAAAAAGGCATCTTGGACGATCAGATCGTCCTAGACTATCGATTCCAATCATGCCTAAATTGATCATGTGATTAAGGGACTAATTATGGTAAAATTTCTCAATTATATCATCTTGGATGATTTGTATATTGTACAGGATGATATTTTTTGACATACTTGATTTTCCTAAATTGTCCAAGCTGAAATACCATAATTTTTCTTCTAATCATCCTGGATGATCCATAATATCATCGAGGATGATATGTATATTTTTGTACTAATCATCCTAGACTATCCAATTATCATCCAGGACCATCAGGTCAACTTTTACACATCGTACTGAATGATCCTGCGATAGTCCAGGACGATTCTGGGCATCAAAATTGAGTTTTTAGGGTTTTCTGAAGCCCTCTTTTAAGCACATCGTATAGGACAATTTGGCGATAATCTTGGATGATAATGTCGATTTTGAAAATCTATTTAAAGACCTCTTTCTTTCTCATGAAGGGTGTCTTTGGAAGCCAATGAAGCTTCACTCTTCTGGAGGAAACTTGAAGAGAGAGCTTGAGAGGGAGAGAGGAAAGGGTGGAGTTTGAGAGAGGGAGAAGATCCTTAGAGGGGGTTTTAAGGGAGTACGGAGGGGGTTCCACATAGTTGCTCTAGCAAGCTTGCACCTTAGTACCATCGGATTCAAGGCTCATCATGAGGGAAGTTTTGGGAAGAAGAAGATCTCTTTGGTGTCAAAGGGCCTGGCTACTCCGCTGCACCGGGGAAGGTGGAAATGATTTTGTAAGGGCTTCTCTGTCTAGCTGTGGGGGCTAAAGGAGAGACACTAAGTTTAGTGCAATACTTGGAAATTCTGTTGGAAGAAGATTATGTTCTTAGTTATAAAAATGTTAAGCTTCAAAATGGAGATCTGAATGCTTTGCCTTCGACAAAATCTAAGACTGATAATGTCATCCCAGAGAAAAAGATTCAATTTCTGAAGAAAGGAACAATCTTAGATAATGTTACAACGGGTGAAATGATGATAGGAAATGAATCGATTAAATGCTATAATGCTCATGTGGTTAAAGATAACATTATCTCCTCTGATCTAGAAAATGTTCGTATATGTGAATCTACTGCTTTAAATGATAGTGTGGAAATTCCTTCATTTCCAACTAGACCAGATGATGTTCCATCAACAAATGCTTGGAAGAAAAGGGAAAATATGAAGGTCTCAGATTTAGATCTAGGAAATTTTATATCTGAAGATGGAAAGACAGTTAAACTACATGTTCAAAACAAATTGGAAAATTCAAAAAAATTATCTAACTCTCTGGTAGTGAAAGTTTTCGGTGGAGAAGCTCCTCTTCATGTTATCATATCGGAGCTTAGAAGACAATGGTCCCAATTTGGTAAGTTTCATCTTACAATGCTTGGAATGGGCTGGGTTCTTTGGTCCTTCTTTGAATAAGAACACTTGGAAGTTGTTTTATATAATGGATCGTGGTTTGTTAAAGGCCAAATTATAGGAGTTGATAGGTGGTCGCAAGATTTCTCACCTACTTCTATTAAAGGAGTAATGGCTCCTTTTTGGATTCAATTGCCTAATCTCCCTCTTCATTGTTGGGATGAAATTAACATCTGTAGGATTGCTTCTATGGTGGGGAAGCCTATCCTTTTAGATGGCAATATGTTCCAATGGGGAAGGTGCGAATTTGACAGAGTCTATGCTAGAATCAAGCTTGATTGCAAGCTTCCCCTTAGTGTGTGGGTGGAGGGATCTTCAAGAAAGTTCTTCCAAAATATAGAATATGAGAGAATTCCCATATTCTATTACAGTTGTGGGATGATCGGGCATTGCAAAGAAGACTGTATTAATGTAAAGATAAATTTTTCCATTATTGCTTCTAGTTCTGAGAAGAATTTAAATTCAAATTCTTCTAATTCAGATGAGGTCTATCAGAACAAGACCAAAGAGGTCCTAAGCAAAGATAACATGGGTTATGGACCTTGGTTAATAATCAATAAAAGAAGAAATATATCTAGTAATTCAAGGAGAATTCTTCTCAATCCAAGAGTATCTTCTACATGGAAAAAAGTGGAACGGAAAAATACTTTACCAATTTTGGGTAAAGATAAATTGACTCTTGATTCAACTCTGGAATCAACTGAAGAAAATCCGTCCTTTGTTGAAGTGAATAATTCTTCACTTTCTAAAGAACATGAGCCGGGCAGCAATTATAGCATACACACTACTAACAACAAGTTGAGTGTTCTTTTAAACCATATTGAAGAAGGTGAAATCATACAGGATTTTCAGAAACATGTTGAGATTGGTGAAAAAACTGTTAAACCTGTTGAATCTTCTCAACCTGATCTGTTGCAGATTGCAGAAACGGGTTTGGAATCAGCTGGGAAATCTTTGGCTAAAAAGAAAAAATCAAAACATTTGAAGGATCTCAGGCCTATCAGTTCTCATTCCAGAATTAGAAGATTGGACATGGAATCAAAAGGGACTGTGGGGGCATCATCCCCAACCTCTCATCAATGAATTCAATAGCATTTTGGAATTGTAGAGGAGCAAGAAAGAAAAGTGTTTCTCTATATCTCAAAGAATTTGTTAATTCTTTTGGAGTTTTCTTTTTGGGGCTGGTTAAAACAAAACTATATACTATAGAATCTTTTGAGATAAAATTACTCATTGGTGAGGGATGGAAATTTCATATTATGCCTTCAGAAGGGTTGTCGGGAGGCATTATCATCTTTGGAATTCTTTGATTTCTGATTTCCAAATTGTTCATTCTTCTTCTCAATGTGTTATTGGAGATTTTAAAATCAACAACAAGGACACTTGGAGGATTGCTACAATTTATGGTCATAAAGATATGTATAAAAGAAGAGAGCTTTAGGAAAATCTGGAGGTGCATTCAACAGCTAACTCTCCAATGGTGGTAGGAGGAGACTTCAATTGTCTTACCTCTAAAGAAGATAAAAGAGGTGGGAGAAGGTTCCAATTCTCCCAAGGAACTATGGAGATGAGTGCATTTTTTTCAAATAATGATTACCATGAAATTGGTTTCATTGGTCCAAGGTTTACATGGTATAACAATAATGTTGGTGGTGGTCGAATTCTTGAGAGATTGGATAGGTGTTATCTTAACTCAATGGCTATTAATTCTTCTCAACAATTGGTAGTAAGACACCTTGCAAGGATATCCTCAGACCATAGTCCCATTCTCCTAAATTTTTTGGATTCCAGATCTGTTACCAATAAAGATATCCATTTTGAAGATGTCTTTATTTCAAAATCTGCAGCTTTCTCTCTAGTGAAAAAGGAATGGGGGAAGAATTCTCATGGCAATTATGCTCAAGTACTAAATTCTAAATTCAAGAAAACACTTAGAACATTATTTTTCTAGAGCAAAAAGAAAAATAAAGATTTAAACATGCTGAAAAATCAGTTACTTGATGAAATTATGGAATTACAATGTAAGGAAGCTAATTCTGGTTTCCTATCAGAAGATGAATGCTGGATGCTGAAGAATAAGGCCAAAGAACTGAATTCTGTTATGGCTTGCCTATATGATTGGTGGAAACAGAGAGCAAAGGTTAAATGGTGGGTGGATGGCGAAAGCAATACAAAATTCTTCCATTCCTATGCTAGTGCTAGAAGAAATTCTAACACTATCATCAAAATTAAAGATGATAATGGTAACATGGTGGAGGAACAAAAGCAAATTGAGGGTATCTTAACTTAATTCTTCACTAAAAAATGGAGATACAGAGCATCTACAACTCACGGGTGGCCTTTACTGCAAGCCACTCTGGATAATGAAGACAGGAAAATATTTGAAAGTTAATTTTAGATAGTAGAAATTGAGAAGGCTATAGAGACCAATTAGCTTATGCAATGCGGTTTATAAGGTGGAAGCCAAGGTGATCTTCAACAGACTTACTATGGTGATCCCCAAGCTTATCTCTATGGAATAGGCGGCATTCATCAAGGGGAGATCTATTTCGGAACATGTATTGATTGCTTAGGAAATCTTCCATAAATTTAGGTACTCTAAAGCTTCTAAAGGGTTTGTTTCATTTAAAATCGACATGGAACAAGCTTATGATTCCATGAGTTGGGAAACATTTAGGAATGTTTTGATTTACTTTTACTTTCCTTTAAAGTTCTTGAAACTTATTTTGGAATGTGTGGAAGAACCAAGGTTTTCTTTGATCATTAATGGGAAATTTTCGGAATGGATAAGAGCTACAAGTGGCTTCCGCCAAGGTTGTCCACTTTCTCCAATTTTCTTTGTTCCCAACTTATTACAAATGCTCTTAATCAAATTAATATTGGTGTCAAAATTAGCCCAGGCAGCCCAAGGATTTCACACTTACTTTATGCTGATGATGTGATAGTATTCTCTGATGCTACTAAGATATCGGCAAAGAAGATTAAGGTGGTTCTCACAAAAATTCTGTAAGTGGACACGTCAAAGCATCAACTTAAACAAATCTGTGACCTTGTTTGGCAAATATATTAAAAGAAGAAGTAAGAAGATTATTTCTCGTATTATGGGCTTCAAAGTTGTTAAGGAACTTGTGTACCTTGGCATTAAGATTGCTCTCAGAAGACTTGTTGCCGCTGATTTTCATATTATAGTGGAATAGGCTTTGAAAATGCTTAATGTTTGGGGAACCAAATTCATATCTCTTGCGGGAAAGATCACCTTGGTCAAATCGGTATTACATTCATTCCCATTAATTTATTGCACGCATTCTATGATTCCTATTAGTATTTCACATGAAATTGACAAGCTTTGTATAAGCTTTTTGTGGAATAAATCTAATGGAAGATTGGGATTACACTATGTTAATTGGAATGAGCTTTGCAAACCAACCAAATGGGGAGGATGTGGATTGTGCTCATCTAGTGATAAGGCAGCTCCTCTTAGATCCAGACTAGCTTGCCATTATTTTCAAAATAATGATTCTCTGCTTCATAAAACTTTTGTGCCAAAATATGGAAAGAAACCTGAAGCAGGAAATAACAAAACTAATTGTTCAGCTGCATGGAAATTGGTTTCAGATGGTAACAGTATGTTGTCATCATTGACTAGATGGAAGATTGCAAACAGCTCTTATATTGATGATTACAGGGATACTTGGATCTTGGACAAATGCTTAAACAAATGACCTACTTTTGTAGTTCCTCAAGAGGATGAAATTATCTTGTTAGATAAATTCATTAATAATAGAGCATGGGATATTGAAAAACTCCTCAAATTTTTTGGGAAGGATTTGGTTCAGCTAATAATAAAATTGATCAACAAGCTCATGAAGATTGCCGTGAGCTCATTTCCCAGAATTCAGGAAAATCTCTATCATCATTAGCATTTGATAAAATGCATCATAGCCAAACTGAACCAAAATTTGTTAAGTGGATCAAAGGAGCTAAACTGTCACCTCATGTTGAAATTTTTTGGTGGAGATTACTTAAAGATGCCATTCCAACATTTCAATTTCTTGCTAGAAGAAAGTTACAAACTTCTGATATTTGTCCAAGGTGTGGAGCTAATATTGAAGATGTGGAGCATATTACTATCAAATGCACTAAAGTAAGAGAAATTTTCTCTTTACTAAACAAATGGGGATTTGATATTCCATTATTTGATATTTTGGAAAGATGTTGTGCATGGATGGAGATCATTGTTCATAACAATGGGTTGCTAAATAATCTTTTATATAATGTGATTTTTCTTTCCTGGAAAGCTAGAAACAAACTTATTCATGATAGGTTTGAAGAAAGTTCAACTACTATTGCTGCAAATGCAGTAAGTTACACATCTACTTCCAAATTGGTTTGCAATTCAATCTCAGAGAGGTGGGATGCTCACCAGTCTTCTAGACTGTCTAATACCTAGCAACCCCCTCCACAGGATTGGCTCAAAATTAACATGGATGCATCTCTGGAATCTGATTATATAGCTGGAATGGGAGGTGTCATACGTGACTGTAGAGGTAGATTTTTGATGGCTTATGGGAAGTCTTGTATTCATTGGGACATCTACCAATTAGAGTTGCTAGCTATCAAAGACCTGAAAGAATCTATTAAAGATCGGATGTTCAAATTAAAAGGTGTTATTGTTGAGAGTGATAACTCTAATGTTATTACTTTTCTTCAACAAGCCATGACTGACGGATTCAAAGGTGAGGAAGACTTACAATTTCTCAATGATTTTAACTTTGTTCTATTCAAATGTATAGATAGAAACAATAACAAGCTAGCTGACATGTGTGCTAGCTTTGCTCTCATTTCTAATTGTGCTTGGGAAGGCATTAGCTTAAATAAGATTCATCCTTCTTTTATTAATCTTTTGAAGGAGGAATCTAATTTGTAGTTTTGAAGTTTTCTTGATTAATGCATTATTTGCTTATTTAAAAAAATATGATAAGAGTCTTGGTCCAGCTGAGAATTCTGTGAAGACAAATGGTCCATGGTTACTAGCAAACTATGGGAAAAAAAGAAATAAAAACTTTGGTTTTAAAAAGTTCAACTCAGGGAGCAAAGAAGAACAGGGTTTTAAAAATGCTGTAGTTATCCCAGAAAATCAAAAACATAGTATGGTGAATACTGGGAAGAAGACTTGGAAAGAGGTTGGCTTGGGGCATCTAGGAAGATCTATGGAACCTAAAAATGTTGAGATAGAAACTGTGCAAGAATTAGAAGACATGAATACTTCTGATGTCTCAAAGAAAGATGTTATGTCTTTCAACTTGCCTAATATTGATGTTAATAAAAAATTCAATATTCTAAACAACCTGGTGGAGGAAGGTGAAATTGTAAGCAATGAGAAAAATCTGGAAATTGCCAGAATGGAAGATATGAAGGAAGTAAATACAGTTACTATTGGTTGTTTGGAAGATAATAAAGAGGATGAAATGAAGGATGGAAATTCTTCCATTTTAAAAAGAATTCAAAATAGCTTAATGGTCTAGGACATATTAACTCGGCTCTTAGGAGTAGGAGAGCTGAAGGAGAAGGCAAGGATAAGTTGAAGACTATTTTCCCTCTTGTTCAATGAATTCTTCCATAATGTTTTGGAATTGTAGAGGAGCTAGGAAGAGGAAGGCTTCTCTATACTTGAAGGAGGTGGTAAAAGATCATGGGATTTTCTTTATTGGCTTACTTGAAACAAAAGTCAATAGCTTTGATAGAAGTGATGTGGATCATCTGATTGGTTCAGAATGGGATTTCATTCTTGTGTCTTCAGAAGGTTTATCTGGAGGTTTGCTTGTTTTATGGAAGGCCAACTTTGCAAAATTTCAAATTTTGGAATTTTCTACTCAATTCATTATTGGTGATTTGGAAGTTCCTAATAGAGGAAAATGTAGGATTGCTTCTATATATGGCAATAAAGATGTTTACAAGAGAAGGAGGCTCTGGGAGAGGTTGGAATTTTACTCTTCAAAGGAGTTACCAATTGTGTTGGGAGGTGACTTCAACTGTACTCTCTCTAAAGAAGACAAGAGGGGAGGGAGAAGATTCTTGTTTTC